GGGAGAGGCGGAAGATTGATATTTCTCTTGCACGCTGATGCTTCTCTCTCTCTAAAATTAAAAAAAAAAAAAAATTATTGGGTGAGGATTTAAAAAAATTTGTCATGGTAACACTGGTTAATAATATTTTGTTTAAGTACATAATTCTACATCATTTGTACATTGCACTGTGTGCTCACTACCCTGTTTTATTTATTTAATTTTTATTTTTTAAAAATATGTTTTTTAATTGATTTCAGAGAGGAAGGGAGAGAAGGAGAGAGGGATAGACCCATCAAGGATGAGAGAATCATTGATCGGCTGCCTCCTGCACACCCCACACTGGGAATCAAGCCCACAACCCGGGCATGTGCCTTTGGCTGGAATTGAACCGGGGGCCCTTCAGTCCACAGGCCAATGCTTTATCCACTGAGCTAAACTGGCCAGGGCTGTTTGTATTTTTTTAAAATAACTCCTGATACTGTTTCCTCATTGTGGCAGATTCAATTTTTCAAAGATGAATGCAACTGTCTCTCCCATTCCACACACTCTTCTGCAATGACCATGCCATTCCATCAAGACAGTGGTTCTCAACCTTCTGGCCCTTTAAATACAGTTCCTCATGTTGTGACCCAACCATAAAATTATTTTCGTTGCTACTTCATAACTGTAATGTTGCTACTGTTATGAATTGTAATGTAAATATCTGATATGCAGGATGGTCTTAGGCGACCCTTGTGAAAGGGTCGTTCGACCGCCAAAGGGGTCACGACCCACAGGTTGAGAACCGCTGCATCAAGAGCTAGCATCTATCTCACAATCCCTTGAATCTAGGTGGTCCCTGTAATATAGTACAGTGGAAGTGATATGTGACAGTTCTGGATGACACTCTTAAATGGCTTAGCAACTTCTGCTTCCTGCCTCTTGGAGCACAATTACTTGTGCAAAGCCCAAGACATGGAGCAGTCATGGGCAGGTACCTTAATTGACAGCCCTGACTGAATTCCTAGGGATTGGCCAACACTAACTTCTAGCCAGGTTAGTAAATCATCTTAAACATCCAGCTCAGTTGTCTTCATATGACTATTCCCAGCTGCCATCACACTGGGGTCACATGAGATACCTCCAGCTGAGCTCAACCAACCAAACTATGAGAAATAATAAACTGTTCTTTTAAGCCACTGTATTTTAGGGTGGTTAGTTACATGTAGTAATAAACAACCATACTATTCACTTGTGAAATGGGGATAATCCTACCTTTACAGAAGTGTTCTTAAGTTCACTTTTTGATGTAGGTAGAATCATGTTCTAAGCAGTAAAACACTACACAGACACGTTATTTTTTTTTTTCAATAATAAAGTTAAAACCTTTTTATATTAAACAGAGGAGAGGTAATACCTTGCTTCTCTCATCAATATTCCTAGTTCTCTGGTACAGATGATGTGAGTCTGCATCTAACCAGCACTCCACCAATTTGTGTCCTTCCTCTCAGGCATGAAAACTTCCCAGGCCATCTATAAAACTAGCCTCATGACTGTCTTGCTGCCTAATAACACTTTTTTTAAAAAAAATATATTTTATTGATTTTTTACAGAGAGGAAGGGAGAGGGATAGAGAGTTAGAAACATTGATGAGAGAGAAACATCAATCAGCTGCCTCCTGCACACCCCACTGGGGATGTGCCCGCAACCAAGGTACATGCCCTTGACCAGAATTGAACCCGGGACCCTTCAGTCCGCAGGCCGACGCTCCATCCACTGAGCCAAACCAGTTAGGGCCCAATAACACTTTTATCATTTAGTATTCACACCAACTAGCACCCTTTCTCTCACCCACTTTATTTTTTTTTCTAATATATTTTTATTGATTTCAGAGAGGAAGGGAGAAGGAGAGAGAAATAGATAGATGAGAGAATCACTGATTGGCTGCCTCCTGCACACCCTCTACTGGGGATTGAGCCTGCAACCTGGCCATGTGCCCTTGACCAGGATCTAACCTGGGACTTTTCAGTCCGCAGGCTGATGCTCTATCCACTGAGCCAAACCAGTTAGGGCTCTCACCCACTTTATGCATAGTTCCTTCTCAGAACAAGACCCTGCTCCTATAATAGACCCTAATCTCCATTCACTTATCCAAGGCCAATCTAATCAGTCTATGCCTCTGGCTAAATGTTTCTTCACCCTCTATTCTTCCTCATTATGAAGTTTTGGATAGTGGTTAAGAATAGAGATACTGTGGCCCTGGCCGGTTTGGCTCAGTGGATAGAGCATCAGCCTGCAGACTAAAGGGTCCCAGGTTTGATTCCACTCAAGGGCACAGGCCAGGTTGTGGGCTTGACCCCCAGTGTGGGGCATGCAGGAGGCAGCTAATCAATGATTCAATCTCATCACTGATGTTTCTAACTCTCTCTCCCCTCTCCCTTCCTCTCTGAAATCAATAAAAATATATTAAAAAAAGAAAAGAAGCACTGTGTTTGACTTTTTACTAGCTCGCTGACCTTAGGCAAGTTAATCTTTTTTTGCTTCATTTTTTTCATAAGTAAAGTGCTTTATACAGTGCCTGGCATATAATAAAAAGCTATGTGTTGGCTATTTTTATTATACCACTTGGTTGCATCTTTACAAAACAACTGTTTAAATTTCAGAAGGTCATGTGCAGGTACCTTAGTTGACAGCCCTAACTGAATTCCTAGGGATTGGCAACACTAACTTCTAGCCAGGCTAGTAAATAATCCTTTTTTTTCCTCCCCTGGGAAACAAAGTACATTATCTTCTCTGACTTCCAAAAGCATTTCATTCATATTTTACAATTACTAGTCTATTTAACAATATGGCAAGTTGAGGAACTAGGTGTAAGACCTTAGTCTTTTAAAAATATATATATTTTAATTGATTTCAGAGAGGGAGAGGGAGAGAGACATAGAAACATCAATGATGAGAATCACTGATCAGCTGCCTCCAGCACACGCCACACTGGGGATCGAGCCTGCAACCTAGGCATGTGCCCTAACTGGCAATCGAACTATGACCTCCTGGTTCATAGGTTGACGCTCAACCACTGAGCCAAGCTGGCCAGACTAATCTTACTGACTACATATGACTAAGTTCATAAGATTTTATTTAGGACTTAATTTTCCCCTACTCCATAGTAAGTCTTTTTAAAATCCAGCCACTCAGTAAGCTAAGTTTAGTAGGGTCAATATCCCTATATTGTCAGTGAACATCAAGTGAGTCTCTGATTCTTAGAACAATAACCTAGTTCGTTCAATTTGCATCCAAATTCCCTGACAGTGAAATACTCCGTATGTCTTAATGTACAGAGAGCACCTGAAAATATTTATGTATATTTTTTAAAATATATTTTTATTGATTTCAGAGAGGAAGGGAGAGGGAGAGAGAAACATCAATGATGAGCCCTGGCTGGTTTTGTTCAATGGATAGAGCGTCAGCCTGCGGACTGAAGGATCCCAGGTTTGATTCCAGTCAAGGGCACATGCTGGGGTTGCAGGCTCGATCCCCAGTGTGGGGTGTGCAGGATGCAGCTGATCAATGATTCTCTCTCATCATTGATGTTTCTATCTCTCTCTCCCTCTCCCTTCCTCTCTGAAATCAATAAAAATATTTAAAAAAATATTAGTAAATGATGAGAATCATTGATCGGCTGCTTCCTGCACACCCCCTACTAGGGATTGAGCCCACAACCCGGGCATGTGCCCTTGACCAGAATGGAACCCGGGACCCTTCAGTTTGCAGGCCAACACTCTATCCACTGAGTCAAACCAGCGAGGGCTGAAAATATTCTGATATGAATATTCACTAAGTAGAAAACTATCCTAAGAGATTAATACTACTATTCTTAAAAAATATTTTTTATTGATTTTTAGAGAGAGAGAACAACATCTATGTGAGAGCAGAACATCAATCAGCTGCCTACCGGGGATTGAGAGCACAATGTGGGCATGTGCCCTGACCAGGAATCGAGCCAGCAACCTTTTTGGTGCATGGGATGACACCCAACCGAGCCACACCAGCCAGTGCATGAATACTACTATTGGTCATTTTGCCCAAGGCCTCAACTAGAGAAAAACCTGGGTTAGGAAGACTGTTTCTCTATGGGCTAAAAAAGAAAACATCTGCTTAGATTCACTTATCATAATCTTAAAATGTTAACTGGCAGTATCTGTATTTTTAACTAAAAGTATCTTAGCTCTTCAAACTCTTTGTTGGTTTGGTGATATACATGCTTTAATCCGCTCAGTATTTTTTCTTGTGACTACTACACGTTTATCTTTTCTTAAAACATAAAGTCCTAAAACGTAGGCATTCTCTTCCCAGCATGTACAGAAAGGAAAAATTTGGTATCCAATGGCTTCTAGAATCAGACCTGAAAAAAATCCTTAATTGGCTTATGGATTCAGGGAATTGGGGATAGAGTCACTAAAGGGTTTGAGATAGCAGAAGAGGGTTGAAGCACTTTTAATCACAGAGGAGTAAACAATAGTATAAACTGTTAACAGCTCACCCAGTGGCTGTTGTCCTCCTTCAGCCCTCTGCTCACCCTCTCCCAACCCCCACTCCCTGTATACCACTGAGTAAAGAGCAGGGTTATCAGCAGCTGTCCCTGTCACTACCAGGTGGTAGGAAGGAGATCTAGCTAGGGGTCACAGCAATCCTGGCCATCCATCCATGGTTATCTGTTTCTACACAACTTCATGTGAAATATTCCAGCTCTGAAGGAAGAACAGCGCAGAAACAACTTGGCTGCTCCATTCGGATGGCCAGAGCCTCAAGAGTCATGGGCAACAAAGGAGGTGATAGTCCAGAATCAGTATAATTCAAGATGCAGCCAAATCCGGGATTGAGGTGGGCCAGGCAAGGCTAGAGGCCCCAGTTCAGATTTGTGCTCCAACCCAGGTAATGAAACTCATGCATATGCGCACGCACACATACACACACACACACACACACACACACACACACACACACACACAGTAAATATTATTGAAAGAACCTGGAGGCTATTAAATACAAAATAGCAGAGTTTTTTAAAAAAGTGAAAATATTTGCTTCTTTGATTCTCCTCAGTGCCTGCAGATCCCTAGTCACAGGAGTGCAGGTTTGGGGAGGCCCAAGAAGAGTAGGTGGCCGGTGGCCCTACAAGTCCATGTGCTTAAGTCCCCTTACCAACCATTTCACTCTTCAGCCCAGCAGCTGCCTCCCATGTGACCATTCACCCAATTGGCACCATTGCTGGAGCTGCTGCCACGGAAGCTTTTTGTGTTGGTGGTCACATCTTCTTCCTCTGAACTGCTCTCCACATCACTGCGATCATCTTTAGACACCTAGGTGGGATGGGGCCAAAGGTAGGAAAGGTGAGGACAGAACTTTTCTGGAAACTTAAGACAAAGCCCACAGAGCCCATGTTTGGGCACTGTTCCCAATTTGGCCTACTTTCTGGTGGCACCTGAAATAGCACCTGAAACCAAAATATTATCTGGACCGTGGCTACTGTTGTGAATATCCTTTGCCTGCTTCCTGGGTTTCTCTCTCATCATTTCTGTTTTTATTCTCTATGGAATAAGTAGCTAGTTTGGTTGAGGGGTGTATCTTTCAGGACCAGCCTAAGAGAGCTGAAATCATTCCCCGAGTTCTGATTTAGGTTTGAGGGATACTCCAGACACCCTTTCTCTCCTTCCATCTCAAAAAATAGAAAAAGGCCAACATAAATAATGCATATGACTGTCATCATTGTGTCTATCTTCCAGTGGTAATGGTGATTGCAGTTATTCATATTGGTTATCCTGAGTTTTGTTCTGTCTCCAAAAATGTTCCATACTGGGCCTTTTTCAGTAGTTCTATTCTTTCTGGGCGCAATTAGCAATATCCTATGACACCATTTCTCCAATCTTCTTCCTTTTCCTGGAAGCAAGATCACTTCTCTTGTGCAACTTTGGCATTCCCAAGATCCACATAGTGAAAAATGGATTGGCAGTCAAGGGAGAAAGAGTCCCAGTCCCAATCATGCTACTATTTGTGAATCTTGACTGCTTAACCTCAGGTTTTTTGTTTTATATTTTCAAATGAAGAGTTTGGATTAGGGCAGTGTTTTCAAATCTAAATTATCTTGAATATCAAACAAAATATTTCAAATTCTCTACCATGGACCATAAAAGTAAAAGAGAGAAACCCAATGAAACCTATGACAGACTTCTGACCTCCAGAACTAAAGGATAATAAATATGTGCTGTTTTTAAGTAAATAAATAAAGGTAAAAAGGAAACAAAACTACTTGTTGTTTCTAAGAAGTGGGGCACTTGATTTGGTTAGCCCTAAGATTCTATGGTTTATAATAGCTGTTGACTTCTGACCCCAGATAACTAATTGATTCCTGATCTTTAGAAAATTTCTACCAGAGAGCACAGTGTGTCTAGATCTGAAGTAAAGGGAGGCTCAAAAAGGGAAAGGGGGGTTGGGGGGGAACGGAAAGGAAAAAAAAAGAAAAGAGTAGACTCCATTTAGGAAAATCTGGCAGCTTGAGCTCCAGTCAACAATGGCCCCACCAAGGTCAGGAGAGTGGGCATGCTTTCAGAAAACACGGGAACAGGAAGGAAAGCAGGAAGGAAGAGAAACACATTCGGAAAGACATACTTCAGTGAATACTAAAAGCACAAATACACTTACATGCAAGAGACGAAATTGTCCAGCTCCCGCCAGGCATAGAAAAAAGGAAGGAGGTGAGAAAAGAGTGGAGAATACAGAATCTGGGTGTAATCCTTCCTGGGTAAGTCACCTGGTCAGGAAAGAAAAGCGGGAGAAAAGAGATGTCTGTAGCTACAGTAAGATGCGTAGGCACACTGAGCAAGGTCTGTAACCAATTGCAGCCGTAAGGAACAGACATAAGAGGTCCTACATGCCCAGGTAACATTCCATCCCTTTGTCCTAGAGTCACTGTGTCCTCTAGCAGAGCCCCTCCCCCTTGGGATTCTGTATTATTGAAGGCTGAATCCACAGCCCTTAGGCTGATTAAAGCCTGACTGCTTTAGAACTTGGATTCACTTATGAATTTTATCATTAAGTGACACTTCTCTCTGTGCTTTTGGGCTCTGGGCATAAGATGGGTATTTGAAATCCTAAATACCCTTCTCACTTAAGACCCTTGCCTCATACAACAGTGGGGTGAGGCCAGTACTTGGTCTCTTACATAAACCATATCTTGAACATCACAGTGTGGTCATCTTGAGGTGGCTTGTGAATCAACGCCATTCCCTAGGCCAGCGGTTCTCAACCTGTGGGTCGCGACCCCTTTGGGGGTCGAACGACCCTTTCACAGGGGTCGCCTAAGACCATCGGAAAACATATATAATTACATATTAAAAAAAAAAATTACATGTTGTTTTTGTGATTAATCACTATGCTTTAATTATGTTCAATTTGTAACAATGAAATTGGGGGTCACCACAACATGAGGAACTGTATTACAGGGTCGTGGCATTAGGAAGGTTGAGAACCACTGCCCTAAGCAATCTCTGCTTTTACAGTTTTTATCTTGGAGCTCTGCATATGATTTCCTTGAAAAAAGGCTCCCCAGCTAAAAAACAAAAACAAAAATATGAAATCTACTTTCTGTTCATTATTTAACAACAGTCATTTCTAAAGGATAGGGAGAAGGAAGAGCCTTCCTTTTACATCTAAGTCATGTCCTAAAAGGCTAAACACTCATACTTATAGAAAAGGTGAAAACTATGGATCGCTAGGCCTTTTGCTGAGTCCTCTTGTGTAGATGGTGCTCACCAAGCTAGATCGAAAGAGAAGGTCTATTGAGTAATATCCATCTTTCTACTCAGCCCCAAGGAAAGAAGCCATCTTTCATCCTCACCTTTCCTCGGATCAAGGCTTTGAAAGCAATTCGTGCAATTAGGTAGGACCAGATGACATGCAGAACCTGTAGGATCAGGAGAAGGCCATTGAAGAGCCACCAGGAGGGATAGGGCCCAATCATCTCCCAGCTCTCAAAGAGGGTTGTGTTCAGAATCCTAGAAGAGGGAGACCAGCGGTCAGATTGTAGAGTCTAAGCCAGGCAGATAGGGATGAAGCTGAGTTCCCTGAGAAGCAGAACCTGTGTTTTCTCCCTGTACCTTCTCTCAGTTGAAGTTCCATGAATATTCATCCACAGTGAGAAAAGAATAAAGGAAGGCAGCCTATGAAGTTTTCTATCATTAGGGATAAGGGGAGATACATATACACTCAAACCTCAGTTCTCGAATGTCTCCCATCTTGAACAAGTCGGTTCTCAACTAACTTGTTCATGGAAAAAAATGTCTTGGTTGTCAAACAAAACTTTGGTTCTCAACCCAACAACCCTTTCATGCTGTATGATCAATCACGAGTCTCTAGGTGACAAACAGGAGAGAATGCGTGAGTATGAGTCAGTTTACCACTAAACCTCACATTGTTAACATTTCAGGAAATTGTGCTATAAATATATATTTTTTAGCTTTAGTTGCTGCTTATTATTATTAAATATTATAGTAAGTCACATGGGTCCTAAGAAGGTTAGTGATAGCAAAATGAAAAGGAAAGTTGTGAGAACGATAGAGCTTAAAAAAGAAATAATTGCAAAGTATGAGAGAGGTGTTTGCATATCTAATTTGGCTACTGAATATGGCATGATGAAATCAATAACTAGTACAATTTTAAAACATAAAGAGGCCACCAAGAGAGCTGATGTTGCTAAAGATGTGAAAGTGCTCATGAAACAAAGATCACAGGCAATTGAAGAAATAGAAAAATTGTTGATTTTGACAAATGAAAAGCAGCCAGTGATGTAGCATTTCGGAGACAATGATATGTGAAAAAGTGAAAATGCTGCATACTGAACTCCTAAAAGATACCCCTGGAATGAGTGTTGAAAGTGATTTGTTTAAGGCTAGTAGGGGATAGTTAGATAAATTTAAGAAAATAAGTGGCATTCATAGTGTAGTCAGGCATAGAGAGGCTGCTAGCTCTAACACAGTAGATGCTGATAATTTTGTGACAGATTTTCAAGAATATGTAGAGGCCAAGGGATTTATTTGTTGACCTTCAGAGGGAACAGCAACATACAGCAGCTGAAGAGCTCTCTTCAGAGAAGAAGGGGAGGGATATTCCTACTTCACTAATCAATAAGAATTCAATTGTGATGAGACAAGCCTCTTCTGGGAGAAAATGCAAAGAGGACTTACATCACACAGGAGAAGTCACTGCCAGGACACAAGCCGATGAAGGACAGGATGACGTTTTTGTTGTGTGGGATGCAAGTGGGGATTTTAAATTGAAGCCTTTACTGGTCTCCATTCTGAAAACCATGAGTTTTCAAGAAAAATAAGTTGCATGTGCAGGGCTAATAACAAAGTGATGTGCAGGGCTAATAGCAAAGCTTAAGTAACCAGGCAATTTTTTTTATTGAGTGGATTCATGAAATTTTGCTCCAAGTGTGAAGAAATACCTCTGGGAAAAACTACTGCCACTCAGAGCACTTCTTGTAGTGGACAGTGTTCCCTCCCTCCAGGCTTGGAGACCGAGGTGGTGGAGGAGTACAGCTTCATCACTGTTAGGTTCTTGCCACCTAACACAACTCCTCCTATCCAGCCCATGCACCAGCAGGTCATTTCTAATTTTTAAGAACTACACAAAGGCACTGCTTCAGAGATGTTTTGAGGTGACATCTAAAACTAATTTAACTCTTGGGGAGTTCTGGAAGGAATAGTTTAACATTCTCACTTGTTTGAGGCTTAGAGACAAAGCATAGGGGGAAGTGTCTTCCAGAACCATGCAATTGGCCTGGAAGAAATTGTGGCCTGAGTCTGCTGCTGAAAGAGACTTTGAGGGCTTAGAGGATGAGCCTATGTCTGTTGTTGAGGATATTGTGTCTCTGGGCAAGTCCATGGCTTGGGGGTGGATGAAGGTGATGGTGAGAACCACAACACTGAGCTGACCTTCAGAGGGAACAGCAACAGACAGCAGCTGAAGAGCTCTCTTCAGAGAAGAAGGGGAGGGATATTCCTACTTCACTAATCAAGAAAATGTTTGGGAAATGAGGAGAAATGCAAAATTTTATTGAGAAATATCACCCTAAGAAGTAGCAAATCATGCAATAAACTTGTTCAATGACAATGCAGTGTTTCACTTCAGACAAGTGTTAAAATGCAGATAAAAACAAACATCATTGAATAGGTTTTTAGTGAGACAGAGGCCCAGGGAGCCTGAACCAAGTTCTAGTGGAGCAAAGAGACAAAAGAGAGAAAGAACCCCAGGAGAACAGCTGTTTTTTATGGAAGGGGACTCCCCTTCCCAACAATATCCCTCCATTCCCTCCTCTCCATATTCAGTCATTAATAGCTCTCAACATTAAAGGTAAGTTCTAGTATGTATGCAAATTTTTATTTTTTACAGCACATTTCATTTCCTCTTTGTTAAATTTTCATTTACATTTCATGTCCTTTTTGTTTGTAAAGTGTTTATAGATTAAACAGTACATTAGACATGTACTACATATAAGAAAGGTTAAAAGAGGGGTCTGGAACATTTGGGGTCTGGAACAAGTTCATTCAATTTACTAATTAAAAAATGGGAAAAAATGATTTGGTTTTTGAATAAACCACTTCTTGAACAGCCTTCAGGAATGAATTAAGTTCAAGAACCAAAGTTCCACTATATAAACCATAGGAACTGATGGAGTAAGTTGTATTATTAATTACTTCAAATATGCAAAAAAAACTGGGACAGCAATTTTAATCGTAATCCTAGGACTCAGATCCCCAGGCACATATAGAATAGTTGGTAGCTGATTCCCTCAGACTAAGCGTGATCTCCAATTGACAGAGTCACTGACTTTGTACCATAAAGTAGTGAGTGTAGAAGTGAGAGGCATGTGTGCGTGCGTGTGTGTGTGTGTGTGTGTGTGTGTGTATGTGTTAGTCAGGGTGGGAGAAAGGATATGAGCAGGAAAACAAGCAAGAAGAGCCTGAGAATTTTGTGATCAGCACAAAAGAACGCAAATGAATTACTTAGGCATAAAATGAGGACTGTTCCTCAGAGATGAATCAGGAATGCCACAGCCAAGTGAGTTGGATACTCTGAGTCTAGATCAGCCATGGGCAAACTTCGGCCCGCGGGCCGGATCCGGCCCGTTTGAAATGAATAAAACTAAAAAAAAAAAAAAAAAAAAAGACCATACCCTTTTATGTAATGATGTTTACTTTGAATTTATATTAGTTCACACAAACACTCCATCCATGCTTTTGTTCCGGCCCTCCAGTCCAGTTTAAGACTCCATTGTGGCCCTCGAGTCAAAAAGTTTGCCCACCCCTGGTCTAGATCATGCCTCACTAGAAATACTATGCAAGGGAACTGAGGTCCTGTGAGAATCCACAAAGGTTAGGTTAGGTCAAGGAAAAAGCAGGGCATCAGGGTTCTTGGTGGTTTACTCCCTAAACTGACAAAAGGTATCATTAGCTACATTCCTACGACAGCTCCACAGCTCTAACACTTACCAGAATGGATAGATTCCTAGACGAGTGACCATAAAAACAGCACTGAAGATCACAAAAAGGGTGTCACAGAGGCGCTGATACTTGGCATAATTGGCCAGCTTGGCTGCCTGGAGGAAGAAAGAATTAAATTGAGGAGAAAGCCTGTTCTCAGGAAGAAAAGGAGAGAAATAGAGGAATAATGAGGGAAAAGAAATTGGGGTCTTACCTCCAGTAAAAAGTCTGAGGCATCATGTAGACACATGACCAGAGTTCCTACCCGAACCATGTTGTTGATATATGAGAAGGTAATGAGCCCAATGGTGGCCAAGTGATGCACAAACATGATCAGGAAGTCCTAGGAAGGAATGGAAATAGAAGAAGCAGGTATAGGCAAGGCCATAGAGATGCTAGCCAACTCAATGCCCTGCATTGTTCTCTGAAGATCTTATCCCAGCCTTAGAAGTTCCATTTTGTTTAAACTCTCCATTAAAAAGCTGCCTAGCATTTGACCCAAACTCTCTGTATCAGTGACCCATAATCTATGTTAATAAAGCTTAACGCAGATTAAAAGCTCTAATTTAGTCCTGGCCGGTGTTGCTCAATGGTTGGAGCGTCAGCCTGCACATCAAAGGGTGTTGGCTCAATTCCTGGTCAAGGACACATACCTAGGTTGCAGGTTTGGGGGGGGGAGGGGGCATGTCCGGGAGGCAACCAGTTGGTCTATCACATCAATGTCTGTCTGTCTGTCTGTCTTTCTCTCTCTCTCACTCCCTCTCTTCCACTCTCTCTAAAAAAATTAAAGGGAAAAATATCCTCTGGTGAGGATTAACAAAAAATACAAAAAGCTCTAATTTCTTCTTGGATTCCAATGCCAAGGGTAGACCTGAAGAAATCTCTAAATACCTGAGTTACCAGACATAGCTAATAAATATGTCTTAGCCCAATGAGGAACAGAAGATGGGAGAAGGCAGGAGAAACAAGGAAGAAAAGTTATGTTTTCCACATAGACAGATACAGTGATATATTCTAGTTCTTGAGTTGGGGATGGGTTCAAAAGTATACATTCTAGTATGTCTTTAAACCTTTATATTTGTGTCATGTATTAAAATAAAATTTTAATAAGGGGACCTGTGTCTCCTGACCATAGGAGAGTGAAAAGCACCTGATTTGAGTATCAAGTTTGTAGGTTATGTAACAAATAACAACCCAGATTAGTTTGTCCATTCCCATAAATGCTAATTTTGGTTTTCTCACCAAAAATAACCATAGGTTAGTAACAGATTAGGGCTAGAGCTACTGGAACTACATTATGTCAGGTGGACAACAATAAGAGGTGAAGATTCTGTCTAGTTATAAAAAACTTAAGTCATTTCCAAATTTGTCACTATGTGGACAAGTCAACTCACTTTTCTGAATCTTTGTTTCCTAAATAATAGCAAGAAAACGGTAAACGAAATAATGTAGAACTCCCTCCAGTTGAAATTCCTTAAGTGGGGTCACCAAGAAGGAAAAGCAGAAAGAGAACCAGGGCCCCTAATGCCAAGCCAAATTTACCCTTTATGGATTCAGACCTGTCCTGGATCATGCCTTTCTATCCCTAGTTCTGACTAGTTTCCTGAGCTTTACACATGTAAGAGCCTTGGAGAAAAATAAAGAAAAGGGTATGCTTAGTGGTTAACTGTTCTCATCTTGGCTACCCTGAAGGCCTCAAATATACTTCTTCATTAGTCAAGTCTCATTTCTGAGAACATTACAAAGAGCTAATAGTCCCATCAAACCTACTTTCTCCCTTTTCTGTGGTCCCAGTTAGGACAGAGAATCCATCACAATGGCAGTAATGGTAGCTTCTAGGAAGGAGGATGCAATAAGTTACTGGGAATCAAGAGAACCAGTGTCCTTACCTTTCTTTTAATGTCTGTAAACTGAGAAAACATTAGAGACCAATAAAAGGCCAATTCCATGATATAATAATAATAAAGCCCACTTGTAAGAGGCTGAAAGAGAGAAAGAAGTAGTTAGAATACCAACCAGTCAAAGATTCATTCTATCTCTGCAACTATCTCTGCCTTGGAGGACCAATATCCATAAAAAACATAAGAAATGACTTAAGTCTTTTCTCCCCATCGTCTTCCAAGATCTTCAATTGCTAACAACAGGCTTTGGGTTGGTATGGAGACTTAAACCTGGTGCATGGATTCATTCATTGGTGGGGTCCCTCGCCCTGGCCTGAGGGGATCAGGCCGAAACCAACTCTCTGACATTCCCTGAGGGGTCCCGGATTGCGAGAGGGTGCAGGCCAGGCTGAGGGACCCCACTGCATGATCGGGGCCAGGGAGAGACTGCGAGAGGGCTCCAGGGTGTGTCCGGCCCGTCTTGCCCAGTCCCAATTGGCTGGACCCCAGCAGCAAGCTAACCTACTTGGTGGTCAGAGTGTGTCATAGCAACTGGTCGATGGGTCGGACACTTAGCATATTAGGCTTTTATTATATAGGATATATATGTTCAGCTCTCATCTTTTAGAGATCAGATAAAGTTAATACATACTACAGCACAATAAAATCAGTGTATCTAAAATTTTTGGCAATTAATGTTTTTCAAGGGATTAAATACACTTAGGCCTTTTTTTCTTCCACTCCTGACCTTTTTCTAGTATAGATTAAGGGGACTCCAAGTAACCCTTGATTCAAAAAGGACACCTGAACCAGAAAGCACTTCATTAAGTGCCAAAAAGCTGCTTTTGTTTCCAGCCCAATTAGGGGAATATAATGAATACTAGAGGCCCGGTGCACAAAAATTTGTGCACTTGGGGGGGGGGTCCCTCAGCCTGGCCTGTGCCCTCTCGCAGTCTGGGACCCCTCGGGGGATGTCCACCTGCTGGCTTAGGCCCGCTCCCCAGGGGATCGCGCCTAAGCTGGCAGTCAGACATCCCTCTGGCAGCCCAGGAGCCCTTGGGGGATGTCCACTTGCCAGCAGGGAGCAGGCCTAAGCTGCAGTCGGACATCCTTAGTGCTGCTGAGGAGGCGGGAGAGGCTCCTACCACCACCGCTGTACTGGCAGCCATCAGCCTGGCTTGTGGCTGAGCAGAACTCCCACTGTGGGAGCACACTGACCACCAGAGGGCAGCTCCTGCATTGAGCGTCTGACACCCTGGTGGTCAGTGTGTGTCAGTGACCAGTCATTCCGCTGTTAGGGTCAATTTGCATATTACCCTTTTATTATATAGGATAGAGGCCTGGTGCCTGGGTGGGGGCTGGCTAGTTTGCCCTGAAGGGTGTCCCGGATCCGGGTGGGGGGGTCCCGCTGGGGTGCCTGGCTAGCCTGGGTGAGGGGCTGAGGGCTGTTTGCAGGCTGGTCAAGCCCCCCAGTGGGGACCCTCATCTCATGGGGGTGTGGCCAGCCTGGGTGAGGGGCTGAGGACGGTTTTCAGGCTTCCCACAGCCCCTTCAGGGTGGGGGAGTCCCGGTGGGGTGCCTGGCCAGCCTGGGTGAGGGGCTGAGGGCTGTTTTCAGGCTGGCCACGCCCCCCGGCGACCCAAGTTCCCAGCCTCTCCTTTTTTCCTTTCTTTCTGGGATTTATTTATCTTCTGTAATTGAAACTTTGTAGCCTTGAGCAGAGCCCAGGCTGGCTAGGGCAGGCAGGAAGCTTGGCTTCCTCCATCGCCAGGGGCAACCCAAGCCTCCTGCTCACTCCAGCTCAGTTGCCGCCACTATCTTAGTTAGGTTAATTTGCAAACTCACTCCTGATTGGTTTGTGGGTGTGGCTTGAACATAGCGAAGGGATGGTTAATTTGCATGTTTCTCTTTTATTAGATAGGACTAGAGGCCCGGTGCACAAAAATTTGTGCATGTGGGGGGAATGGGGGGGTCCCTCAGCCTGGCCTGTGCCCTCTCGCAGTCTGGGACCCCTCAGGGGATGACCACCTGCTGGCTTAGGCCCGCTCCCCAGGGGATTGGGCCTAAGATGGCAATCAGACATCCCTCTGGCAGCCCAGCAGCCCTCGGGGGATGTCCACTTGCCAGCGGGGAGCAGGCCTAAACTGCAGTTGGACATCCTTAGCACTGCTGAGGAGGCAGGAGAGGCTCCCACCAACACCGCTGTACTGGCAGCCATCAGCCTGGCTTGTGGCTGAGCAGAGCTCCTCCCATGTGAGAGCGCCCTGACCACCAGAGGGCAGCTTCTGCATTGAGCGTCTGTCCCCTGGTGGTCAGTGTGTGTCCTAGTGACCAGTCATTCCCAGTCCTTCTGCTATTAGGGTCAGTTTCCATATTACCTGTTTACTATATAGGATAAGAGGCCTGGTGCATGGGTGGGGGCTGGGTGGTTTGCCCTGAAAGGTGTCCCGGATCAGGGTGGGGGTCCTGCTTGGGTGCCTGGCCAGCCTGGATGATGGGATGATGGCTATTTGCAGCTGGTCACACCCCCTTCAGGGTGGGGGTCCCGCTTGGGTGCCTGGCCAGCCTGGATGAGGGGATGATGTCTGTTTGCAGCTGGTCACACCCCATTCAGGGCGGGGGTCCCCACTGGGGTGCCTGGCCAGTCTGGGTGAGGGTCTGAGGGCTGTTTTCAGGTTGGTGGGCGACTGAAGCTCCCAGCCTCTCCTTTTTTCTTTTCCTTTTTTTTTATTCTGGGATTAATTTACCTTCTATAGCTGTCACTGGAGCTGAGAGCAGGCTCCAGCTCTGAGGCCGTTGCCGGCTGAAAGCAGGTACCTGGGTTTGTTTAGATTCTATAATTGACACTCTGTTGCCATCACTGGCCGCTCTAAGTTCTGAGGCTTTGCTGGCTGAAAGCAGGTTTCTGGGGTTTGTTTAGGTTCTATAATTGCTACATTGTTTCATCCAGAGCTCAGAGCTGAGCTGTGGCAGGCGGGGGACGTTGACTTCCTCCATCACTGGAGCAAGCAAGTCTCATGTTCATGTTCGCTTCAGCTGCCTGGCTGCCGGCCGCCATCTTGGCTGGCAGTTAATTTGCATATCTCGCTAATTAGCCAATGGGAAGGGTAGTGAAGTTATGGTTAATTACCATGTTTCTCTATTATTAGATAGGAGGATAATGGGGAACTGGAACAAAAAGATCACTGGATTTCACAGCTATGGGGGCCCTAGAAATAGATACCCTGTATATATGACTCAGAGACTCAGCCTGACCCCTTAAGAATACCAAGGATATGTGCTATCTGTCCTGTGCTTGCACTGTCCCCCACTCCATTTTATATACATACGTAAGTGCTCAGATCCTACCTGAAATGGATATCTATGCCAGCACTGTCGGGTGTCCCAAAACCAAGGTGACTAAGAAAAAAACAGATAATCCAGGTCAATCTTCAGAATTCTCCCATGGCTCACCTATATAATCCTGTTCTCTCTATGCTATAGGGTGAAAAGTAATCCCTCTTGACAGAATTTAGAAACCCTTGAAGGGTAAATAAATATCTAGATTTCTCTTCTAGGACTTAAAGTGTTATTACAAATAGAAAAATCATGCTTTGAGGTAAATAAGGGCAGGGAGAGCTCTAAGATAGTTTTTGAAAGCATCATCACCTGGGATAGAGGAGATAGGAAGACAGGAAGACAATAATTCCATTTGTTAACCAAGAGAAAGATCTCCATATCAAAGATTCAAAAGTCAAAAGTAATAACTTCTAATGGAGTTTTAATTATGTCCTGTAAGCAATTTGCCCATTTCATCTAAGTTGTTGAATTTGTTACTATTAAATCATTCATAATGTTGTCTTATTATCCTTTCAGTGTCTACAGTGATAATCCCTTTTTCTCCTTGATATTGATAATTTATTTTTTCTAGGGTTTTATCAAATTTAATCAAATGTTTCAAAGAACCATTTGAACTTTTGGCTTTATTAGTTTCTTCCATTGTTTGTCTAATGCCTATTTCATTAATTTTTACTTATTTAACTTTGTTCTTTTTCCAGATCTTATTAGATCATTGATTTTAAAGCTTTCGTTTTTTTCTAACATAAACATTTAAAGTTGTAAATTGCTCTCTAAGCATACTTTACCTGCATCACATAAATTTTGGCATATTGTAATTTCAGCATCGATCAATTAAAAATATTTTAAAATTTCCCTTCTGATTTCTTGTTTGATCTACAGATTATGTAGCAGAATTGTTTAACTTCCAAACATTTTCTGGATATTTCATTATTATTATTGATTTTTAATTTTATTTTATTATGACCAGAGAACATATTATTCAGTATTTTAAGAATTCAGTATTTTAAGGTTTACTGAGATTCATTCATTCATTCATCATTCATTCTCCATGCCCCCTTTCCAGTCACAATACAGACCAGGCAAAGGGCCCAGGCTGGAGTGTATGTGGGGTGGGTTTACTCTGCCTCCTCTTTTTGTACAGTCAGTGTAAGAACACAGCCTGTGGTAAGCACCAGGAGGCAGAGATTTATTATCTGGCCTATCACATGGTCTATCTTAGTTGACATTCCATGTGCACTTAAAAATTATATATGTTCTTCAGCTGTTGGTGTAGTGTTCTTCTATAAGTGTCAATTAGGTCAAATTGTTTGTGTTGTACAAAATTATATCCTTAGTGATATTTTTTGTCTAGTGATTTAGTCAATTACTGATAAGAGAGTATTAAAATCTTTTAAGTACACACAATCTGATTGTGTATGTGTCTATCCCCATCCTTAGTTCTGCCTCTTTTTGCTTCATATATTTTGAAACCTTAACTGTATCATTTAGAAAAATAGGGCGGTGCTGTGAAATAAAAACTGTGTAATCAGAAATCAAAAAGTCTGAAATTCTTCGACTCTGGCAACTAACTGAAAAGCAGGACTTATACCTATTTTATCCACTTTAACGAGTTACTGACTGCATTTCTGTAACTGTCTCCTCTTTGGAAGAATGAGGTTTTTGTCAAGTGCTTTGTAAAGAATTGTGCATTATGCTGATTTAATCAATACCAATTATTCTCTAGAGATGTGGGCATGATTAGAACCCAAAAGAAGATCAGAGAAAGTCCACACTCACCGACCAAAGAAATCTAATTCCGTAGCAGAATATACATAAATAAAAAGTGAATCTCCACCTGGGTGGGCAAAGAGTAGAGGTTAGATGAATATTCACTCAAAAGGAAGTCTTAGGGGCTAAAGAAGTCAAGATAGCAGATTTGGAGATAAGATAGTTACTGGTGAAAAAGAAGATAAATCCCCAGAATAGGGACAAATACTATTACCTCAAAAGCCAAAAGAGACATCTTTCGGCTGTTTAAAATAGATTTCCACAAGTGTTTACTGGCTTTAATCAACTTTTCTTCCATCTCATACTCCTTGATAATGCCTAATATTTTCTTTGCACAAGGATAAATACAGTGCTCTGTGTCCAGAGGGGAATTAGTAAAAACCCAGTGAAATAAGTATAGTATGCCCAGAAAAGGGATGCTATCCATTAAAAAGTCCATTTAGAGCAAGCTGGTTCTATTGCTATCAAGGTGTACAAGGGTGTGCATGTCTACCTACATAAGTACAGTTATAGGAATTCACTCCCAATCTATGTTTTTGGGAAAGGAAACTACATTTAGCTTAGTGGCAAGCATGTCCAAGAAAGGGTGACTAGTCTCCCCATGCTCTTCTTTCCTGCCTATAATAAATACAGTTAACTCTGCACATTCATCGGCTGCTGTCCTAATAATATAAGTAATTTCCAAAAAGAAAACCTCAGTCCAGTCACACCCTACCCTTCTCACTCCCCACCTCCCTCTGAACACCTACATGCTTTCACAGAATTTAGTGAGTGTTGGGGGCTTGTCCTGATTCCTCCGATGGCGAAACCAGCATTGGATTTTTCGGACATCCCAGTCCAGTTGCTTTGACAGGCCCTCCAGCCTTTTCTCATCAGGATACTGTAGATATATAACCAGAGTCAGAACATCCCTTTTTCTTCAAACATCTCATTAAATCCCTTCACTAGATGAGTGGCAAATGGGTGATAACTACAGTGGCTTAAGTGATGTTTATCTTTCCAGGTTTCATCTCAAAAGTCATTTTCAGCCTGGCTGACGTAGCTCAGTAGTTGAATTTTGACCTATGAATCAGGAAGTCATGGTTCAATTCCCAATTAGGGCACATGTCCGGTTTGCGGGCTTGATCCCCAGTATGGGGCGTCAAGCCAATCAGTGAATCTCTCTCATTACTGATGTTTCTCTCTCTTTCTCTCTTCCTTGCTCTCTGAAAACAATTTAAAGAAAAAAGTCATTTTCACACATCACAAAAGTACTATTTCACACATCAAGGACCTTTATCACTCACCTATACACGTCCTTGTTTGGTCTTCTCCCTCCAGCCCAAACTGAGTAAAAAAAATATTAAAAATCCAAACTGCAAAGGCTATCGGTCCCCATCTTAATTATGTAACTAGATACTGACAAAAGCTGGAGCAGGGAAAAACAAAACTAAAATATGATTTGTCTGGGGGCAAGGGGTGGTGGAGGCTGCTAGGCCTACAACTCAAATTATGTAAACTTTAGATCCTGGCCCAAAGGTATATCCCTGAGGGGATAAAGTTCTCCTCATAGCTATAGAGATTACCCAAATGGGAAAGATCATCCCATCCTATCCGTACACTTGGGAGATACTTGTTCTCTATCTTCCCTTGCCCTATGGGGCAATCCCTCATAGGAATCTTCTCTGTTTCTTTGCCCACTTACCTTGGTAATAGATATGAACACCTTTTCAAGGATGGCATTGGGTTGGGGCTGATAAGGACCACTGTCCTGGATGCCAACATGGAGTGCACAGGGTTTGGCAATAAACCTGTAATAGAGAAAGCCCAAAAGCCAATTCTAAATATGATTTGCTAATCAGGAAAGAAAGATCCTGATTAGGGGGCTGATGGGGAGGAAAAAGGAGTAACACCTGGCTGGAAGCCAGGACTTTTTTATTTTATCCTGAATTTTGCCACTGGCCTAGTTGAGAAGTGACCTGTTTAAGAAATATTGGGCCATAAGCTCTCTTTCCATTTTTCCCTGCCTTCCCTTATCACATCTAGAGCTTTTTTTTTTTTTTTTTTAATGTATTTTATTGGTTTTTTACAGAGAGGAAGGGAGAGAGATAGAGAGTTAGAAACATCGATGAGAGAGAAACACCGATCAGCTGCCTCCTGCACATCTCCCACTGGGGATGTGCCCGCAACCCAGGCACATGCCCTTGACCGGAATCGAACCTGGGACCCTTTAGTCCACAAGCCGATGCTCTATCCACTGAGCCAAACCGGTCTCGGCACATCTAGAGCTTTAAAGTCAGAAAGACCTAGGTCAAATCACTAGTCTACCATTTACTGCCTGTATGAACTTGGACAGTATTAAATCTCTGTAAGGCTCAGTTTTTCATCTATAAGATGAAGATAATATCAACCAACATCTTTGCTACTCAATATAAAAGTCCACAGACCAACAGCATTATTGGCTTTTCCTGGAAGCTTTTTATTTTTATTTTTTTTATTTTTTTAAATATTTTATTGATTTTTTACAGAGAGGAAGGGAGAGAGATAGAGAGAGTTAGAAACATCGATGAGAGAGAAACATCGATCAGCTGCCTCCTGCACATCTCCCACTGGGGATGTGCCCGCAACCCAGGTACATGCCCTTGACCGGAATCGAACCTGGGACCTTTCAGTCCGCAGGCCAACGCTCTATCCACTGAGCCAAACCGGTTTCGGCTGGAAGCTTTTTAGAAATGCAGAATCTTGAACCCCATCCCAGACCTGCAAAATCAGAATCTTTATTAACAAGATCCCCAAATGATTCATGTGACCATTAAAATGTTAGAAGAATCTTGTAAGTATACAATGAGATAATGTATGTGAAGACCCTGGAACCAGGAAGGTGCTTAATAAATGGTAGTTTTCCTTATATCAAAAGATTAAGAAGATCTTAATTGGAGGGAAAAGTAAAACTGAGGCTGAGCTCTTCCTAACTACAAATATCCTGGGTCATGGTCACCTTCCTGCCTAATAAAAAGATTATGGAAATACTTAGAAGAAAGAAATAAGGAAACTAGGAAGGGTGAGAAAGAAATTACCTATTAGTATTCAATCTCTGCCCTAGATTATACCACTAATAAGTCATATAAATTTGACAGAGTCACTTAAATCTTGAGTCTTGGTTTTATTATCTAAAAGAAGGTGTTGTAGCCCTAATCGGTTTGGCTCAGTGGATAGAGCGTCAGCCTGCGGACTCATGGGTCCCGGGTTCGATTCCGGTCAAGGGTATGTACCTTGGTTGCGGGCACATACCCAGTGGGGGGTGTGCAGGAGGCAGCTGATGGATGTTTCTCTCTCATCGATGTTTCTAACTCTCTATCCCTCTCCCTTCCTCTCTATAAAAAAATCAATAAAATATATTTTTTTTAAAAAAAGGTGTTATATGAGGTGATTTCTAAGATTTTTGTTCTATATCTAAGATTACATAGTGTTATCATTAATTGTAATTCATTTCTAATTTTTAGATCTTTGAGAAACTAGTCCTTGTTTCTTCAAGAAAGATCTCCTGCTTCTGCAAAACCATATATTTTTGTGAGTATTAATTAGCTCTAGAAAAAGCTCCATGTAGTCATTTTGAGAATAAATCAAAACCAGTTTTAGCTCCTTTAGCATGTTAGGGAGTCTGATAAAAATATGACTGGGAGGTCTAAGATGGAGTGTTCTTGACCTATTTTCTTGGTCTGCATTTGAATTCAGAATTTATCTCTAAAGGAGGGACTGAGAATAAGAAACTTTATCTTTTATAAAAAGTTTTACCCTTATCACCAAAGTTCCTGAGCCATGGGGAAACATTTATTCAGAGCACAAAGCCACATCTGTAACCCATTCTCTCCTCTCTTTTACACACGTGGCACAAAAGTTTCATTCAAAAGCCAATAATAGTAGATACTTTAACTTATATTTCCTGGTATACTATTCTGTGTACAAATATTTAAAAACCCCACTCCTGTTTAAACTCATTGTAAACAAAGGATACATAGAGAATACCGTTTGCTTGTTTTTTATTTACCCAGATTCTGTGCTCAGCAGTTTCTGTGAGAGGTTCAGTGAATCCCACGCTTGCCCTATGAGCTCAGTTTGACCCAGCATTGATCAGCATCCAGAAAAGTAATTAAGGCAGTCACTCTTTGCTTTTGAGTTGGTATGAAGAGGTAGATGCAAAAACAAAAAACAGCCTTTATAATTCCTATTCTTACCCCTTGATGTAGGTCTCTTCCTCAATCCAAAAGCAGTCAGGTGAATAAAGGCTCTGGAGTTAGGCAGATTTTAACAGGTAAGAGACTTTGTGAAAGATCATTTTAAAGATGAAATGACATGATGCATGCCTAGCACAGTACCTGACACTTAGTAAACATTCAATAAAAGGAGGCTATTATTATTTTACCAGAAACTAATAGTTCAATCTGGGTACCCTGATGGTACCTTCAGCAGAAGGCAAGAAGAGCCAATATCTTCTTTCATACAATAGGGATAGGTTTGTACCCTGCTCACCTGAGGGAAGCCAAGATAATTTTTATTATTATCTGGACATTGGAGGGAACTTGATATCCTATAGCTGTCATTAGCTCACATCCTGCCCTCAATAGTTCACAGAGTTCAATGAGAGACATAGAGTTACTGGCATCCAGTTAGTTACGGCGGTACAAACCCTAAGAAAATTTATTTATTTGACAAATATTTATTGGGCACCTATTTTGTGCTATAGCACAAAGCCCAAAACCAAATATAAGGACTTACTAGTATGGTTGGAAAAGAATTTTTCTGATTAAAAAATTAAATAAATAGATTTATGCATTTAATTAATAACCTTAATGAAGAAAGTGAAATTATTTTAAAGTAGAACTTTAAATAAGTTCAGACTCAATCATGTATTCATTCTATATCATATACCTGGTATCTTACCTAATAATAGACAAACATGTAAATTGACCATCCCTCTGCTACACCCAACAGCCAATCAGGAGAGTATGCAAATTAACCCAACAAAGATGGTGGCTAATTGGCATACGTAGGCTTGAAGAGGTGGAGCGAAGACTGAAGGCTCTGGCTGGAGCAGCAAGAACTGAAGGCTCCGGCCAGAGCAGTGAGGACTGAGAAAGCCTGGGTCCTGGGTGCCGGAGGAAAACCGGTGCTGGCAGCCAGGGGAAGGGAAGGCCTATTGCATGAATCTTTTCATGCAACAGGCCTCTAGTTTAGTATATAATTTATAAAATGGACATATAGGTTAGTCAGATTCCAGACAAAGTGCCTGGCATTCATCCTTTCTTCTAGATTGGCACCTCTCTAAGTGTGCTCTGGAGACTTTCAGGGACCCTTTCAGGAGGTCTGCAAGGTTAAAATTATTCTCATAATAATTCTATAACTTCATAATAATTACTTTCTCTCATGAGTATACAGTGGAATCTTCCACAGGTTATATGAAAACAGACTGAATGCAGAAGCTGACATGAGAATACAGCTGCCAGATATTAGAAACTTACAAAAATGTAAAATAATGCTATTCTTCTCAGTTTGTTTTGGAATTTTTTTCCATAGTGTTAAATTATCAATATAATCAATGTATTGTTATCTGTAAATGAATTAATAATATATTAAATTATTTTCCATTTTTAATTTTTAAAGCAGTACATGTTAATAGATATTATTCAAATGAACAAAAACTCCAGAAAAAGTACTCTGGGGTCCTTGATAATTTTTAAGAGTATAAAGGATTCTTGACAACATAGTTTGCAAACAAACTGCTGTGCTGGATGACACTGAGAAATCAAACTTCTCAAGATTTTCTTTCTGTTTATTTATTGATTTTGGAGAGAGAGAGAGGAAGGGGGAAGGAGGGACAGAGAGAGAGAGAAACATTGATTTGTTGTTCCACTTATTTATGCATTCATTGGAGCCAGCCAGGGCATCTTGTGATTTTCTGTCCTCTCCAGGATCAATTTGTTGCCCAAGTTTTAAAATAATCTGTAAGACTAAACCTCCTTTTGCCTTCAAGTCTGAATAAGTGAGCATTTAGTGGTCTATAATGTGAAGATACTCCTTTCCACCTGCCATTCCAGGAACATGAGTCTAATGATCCAACCTGATTGTAATCTATCTGTCTTGCTTTATAGAGATCATTTCATTTGCCCTTTCCCTGCCCTCCAGATATATGGTAGCAGCTGACCTAAGCCTGGGTTAATTAAGATGAAATTACTACTTTGCTTGTTCATACTAAAGACAGGAGCTATACTTATCAAGTTTCTCAACTGGTATATCATGGCAAGTAACATAGATTGGTTATATTATGCTGAGATGCTGCTCTCCGTTCTCATGGTAGTACATGGGGCCTGTAGTAGCCATAAACACTTAGCCTGTAGCCTTGGCCTCATATACTTCACTGTGCAACACACATTTTATTTTCTACACTAGAGGCCCGGTGCACAAAATTTGTGCGGGGGGCGGGGAGGGGGGGGAGGAGTCCCTCAGCCCAGCCTGTACCTTCTCGCAGTCCAGGACCCCTCAGGGGATGTCCACCTGCCAGCTTAGGCCCGCTCCCCATGGACATTCCTCTCACAGTCCGGGGCTCCTTGCTCCTTACCACCTGGTTTGCTGCTCCTTAGTGCTGCCGCAGAGGCAGGAGAGGCTCCCACCACCACCGCTGTACTCGCCAGTCATGAGCCCAGCTTCTGGCTGAGTGGCGCTTCCCCTGTGGGAGTGCACTGACCACCAGGGGCCAGCTCCTGCGTTGAGCGTCTGCCCCCTGGTGGTCAGTGCGCATCATAGCAACTGGTTG